ATCTCTCTCAACAACAACAACGGAGGAGGAGGAAAAGAGAGAGATACACACAGACTGTGAGTGTGTATCTCTCTCAACAACAACAACGGAGGAGGAGGAAAAGAGAGAGATACACACAGACTGTGAGTCTCAACAACGAAACACCACTTTGCCACAAAAAACGTCGTATTGATTGCAACAGCACAATACGCACGCAGCGCCTATGGCGAAGCGCAAGTGCCTGTCATGTCCAGGGTGGATTTAAACCGCAACTTCTTAACTTGGTGCCAAACCACATGCTCAGCAGCGTACCACCTGTGTTATCGATTGTTGGGGATGATATCTGGATCTCCTGCCATCTTAGTCTCCTTTGAATGGCATCGTTGTGAACACTTTTTTCTTAGGGATGTCGGGCACGTGTTCGTTACCGGTTTTTGCGTTCCCGTTTGAGTGCTTTGTTAGGAACTTCTCCGCACGTCTATTTTCTCGCACTGTAGAGGAGACACGTAGCAGCTCACATGTAATCGCTTCCTCTGAGCATAGCTGACTAGCCATCACAAAGATGGTGCGAACCGGAGTTCGTCTGTAATTCACAGAACACTAAATGCCAAACACAGGATAGTGTACCATTTAGGTTTCTTTTAAGCGAACATCTAAAATTGGAAGGCGCTGTAAGCTTCATTCTCAACTGCAAATTTGATTGCCGAGTAACAGTTGGTTAGCACCAACGGTAGTTGTTCTGCTTGCTCGGCACTGTGTACAACGACTAACTTGTCATTCATGTAGCGGCTATATGAATGCAACTGGTGTGTATTAGACAGTGATCTCTGTATTCAATCTATCCAATCCGCTAAGTATATGTAACCGGCTGACAAAAATACGCGAGATAGCTGAATTCAGATTACCCTGTTGAAATGTTGTTCTTTCTTGCTCTTTTGACACTGGCAGTTGTTCGTTGTGTAGTTCAGTCTACCGTGCTCGAAATACTAACAGTATTAGTCGAGACTGGCAATCACTCTCTCCGCTTTCAACGGACCGAAGAGATAGGTTACAGGAGAGGTAGTCACTGAATGTCGATCAGGATGCATTTTGTAGTGTCGAAGGTGCGCCATGTGAACCAAGCGTGATCTCGGAACGATTTGACAGAGGAAAAAATGCATGGCAAGCAGCGCTACAGAATACGCATAACAGGATCTCAGATAACCGAAACTTAATTGATGTAATATTAAAAGGGGAAAATCAACATCCCAGGATATTTAGACTATGTAAGGATACCGGGATTATTCTATCTATGAATCTTGTACCATGCATCTGGTTTCGTGAAGGAACTCTTAATTGTCTCAAAATTATGAATTCTTTGCACATGGTTGTGGTTGAAGTTAGATGGTGTACTCACTGCTGATGTTGTATGCGCAGTTTTCGCAATTGTAGCAGAACCACCGTCCTGGATCTTCGTCTGCCAGTTTCGTGGAAGGGTGAAATCATTGTTTCCGGTTCAGAATTATTTCGGTCAGCCTTCGCCTGGTACACTATGATTCCTAAATTAGCTGGGATCGTGTAGTAGGATAACTGCGGGTGACACCAGTTGTGGACGAAATCTATTTCACTGCCCTCAGAGGACAACATAAGGCAGGCAGCCACGGACGCGAATGACCAACGGAACGGTCCACAGCTTGAAGGCTGCAAACTTCTAAACCAGGCTTGACTGTCTACCCCAAGTAGGCCAGTATCGTACACAACGTGTCCACCAATGCACGTGATGCGGAATAGGCGGGCTGTTGCTGTGCCGGGGGGCTTAAAAACAGGCACTCAATGTCATCGGGCAGCCGCAGCATGTATGTGCAAGGGTTGTCTGGAATTCAGGACAGATGGTTACCGGGTCTGAGCTGCGGCACATGACTGGATCGTTAGCGAAGTACCCCTGCAACAGTGACTGTCTGGGCGTTGTGATTGTCTGAGTGCTACTGGGTGCGTGTTCCTCCCCAATACGTGCAACTGACTCAGGAGACTTTGCTGTGCAACTACTGTGTGTGTGTGTTAATTCAGTACCTTTTTGCTTACTACTTTCTGTACTCTGGTTGCATCTGAATTCCTCAATAACTGATCGTGCCTACAGTTCTTTGTCCTCTACTACTTACGCATGCTCGTTAGCTACTCGCCGTTAGTGCGATACACTAAGAATACTGCATAAAGTTGTTATTAAGCATAGGTAGCCGGTGGTTGATCAAAACATTATGCCCTTAAACATCATGTCAACTAACGCATCTTCGGATTATTCGCTTAACACTGAAAGGGCGTTGAGCCGAGTTTGTGAGCTGAACACCTGGGTGTGTAAGTCTTCGATTCTAGTCAGTTTTATACTTGCATTCCTCCTTACCATACAGTCAGTACGCTTATGAGCACCTTTATTCGGTAATCTACTCGGTCACTTGTTACTTGCAAGCTGACCGAGTGAACTAGTACAGCTGGCCAATTTTCACCTTGGTTGCACCGCTCTGGTGAGCTGTATCC